GAAGTTCCTTCATGAAGTTCCTTCATGAAGAGTTCATGAAGGAACTTCATGAAGAGTTCATGAACACTTCATGAAGGAACTTCATGAACTCTTCATGAAGGAACTTCATGAAGTCTCATTTAATGTTCATGAAGTATTCATGAAGTTTTCATGAAGACACTTCATGAAGAATTCATGAAGAATTCATGATCTTTCGAAGGGGTAATATAAGTCAGTGCTATACAGCTAAGGTATGGGAGTTACGAGCAGTTTAGTGCTAAGATTGCTTTCTTTAACGACACAATCATATCACTATTATGCTGCATGTTTATCCCACATCCTATGAACGATTAGTACAATTAAAGAAGTTTGACTTTACAAACCGCATACCACCACAGCAGTATTTCATTGTAAAGTTTTGGTTTTACGCCGCTTTTAGCAATATTCCAGCAACATCGCGGCAGGGGACACCAGAAATGGGCTTCACACATTATACCCATGTGGGGATTGGAACCCGGGTCCTTGGCGTGACGAGCCAACACTTTAACCACAAGGCTACCCCACCGCCCTTCATCATAATAACCAGTTTTAAGGTATGATCTGGAAACAAAGTCTACCTTTCATATTTTCTAAGTTCAACTTTCATCTTCAAAATACCAGTCAAGTGATAAGAGCAGTGTTCGAAATAGCCATTGGCCCGCTAGACTGTGGCTAGTAAATATCGAGTCGGGACAGTACATCTCCACAGTCAAAGGTCCGACTGGCTGGCGAATTTTCACGGGGTCATTTTGTAAATATATCACTCTCTCCGACTTGTTCACTTACAATGCACTTTTAAGTCTAGCAAGATTATGGCCTGATAAAGAGGTTCATCATATTAGCAGTTTAATGATGAAACCTGTGTCATGCTGATAATATCTTATTCTCATCTATTTCTGTAATGTTGTGCTTAGTTTCTACATGCAAATTTCAGTCTAGTGAATTATCTTTTTGACTAGTAACTTTCAGGCATAGCTAGCCTGACTGGGTAGCAAAATTTGGGAACTATTTCGCACACTTGATAAGAGTGAAAAGAAGTAGATTAGTCTTAAAAATATAAGCCAGACAATCGGGCTTGGGGAGATGTTTTTCAGGCAGCCTGACATGAAAGTTGTCAGCCTCGGGCAGGTGGGCAGTGCGTTATTTCGATCACTGATGTTTATCCCATATCCTATGAATTACTAACGTTTAGTACAATTAGGGGTCAGATGCCACGACAGCAGTGGGTTGATATGAAGTAGACTTTATGTGATGGTCTCACAGCTAATGGTGATTGATATGAGGGCAAATACTCAGATGTGTCAAGTAATTAGTAGATAAACGACGGTGTTTTCAATCCAGAACTGTTTTACCTGTAGATTTGACAGTCCTAAATAGATTATGGAACTCTCAACACAGCTTGGGGTCAGTGATTACAATGTGTCAGTGTTATGTTTCTAGGATTTGGGTGACTTGAATTCTGTAATGGATAACAGGCCTGCCAAACTTATAACAGGCCTACAAAAACAATTGCTGGGTTGAGGATTTGTGAGCAGACCATTTTGGAACTAAAGAGTATACAAAGCATTTGGAAAATGAAGAGCAAGCAAAGCATTTGGGAACTGAAGAGAATGCAAAGCATTTGGAAACTGAAGAGAATGCAAAGCATTTGGAAACTGAAGAGGATGCAGAGCATTTGGAAACTGAAGAGAATGCAGAGCATTTGTAAACTGAAGAGAATGCAGAGCACTTGGAAACTGAAGAGAATGCAGAGCATTTGGAAACTGAAGAGAATGCAGAGCACTTGGAAACTGAAGAGAATGCAGAGCATTTGGAAACTGAAGAGAATACAAAGCATTTGGAAACTGAAGAGTATGCAGAGCATATGGAAACTGAAGAGTATGCAGAGTACATGGAAACTGAAGAGAATGCAGAGCACTTGGAAACTGAAGAGAATGCAAAGCATTTGGAAAATCGAAGAGAATGCAAAGCATTTGGAAACTGAAGAGAATGCAGAGCATTTGGAAACTGAAGAGAATGCAAAGCACTTGGAAACTGAAGAGAATGCAAAGCATTTGGAAAATCGAAGAGAATGCAAAGCATTTGGAAACTGAAGAGAATGCAAAGCATTTGGAAACTGAAGAGAATGCAGAAGCATTTGGAAACTGAAGAGAATGCAGAGCACTTGGAAAGCTGAAGAGAATGCAGAGCATTTGAAACTGAAGAGAATGCAGAGCATTTGGAAACTGAAGAGTATGCAGAGCATATGGAAACTGAAGAGAATGCAGAGCACTTGGAAACTGAAGAGTATGCAGAGCACTTGGAAACTGAAGAGAATGCAGAGCACTTGGAAACTGAAGAGAATGCAGAGCACTTGGAAACTGAAGAGAATGCAGAGCATTTGGAAACTGAAGAGAATGCAGAGCATTTGGAAACTGAAGAGAATGCAAAGCACTTGGAAACTGAAGAGAATGCAAAGCATTTGGAAAATCGAAGAGAATGCAAAGCATTTGGAAACTGAAGAGTATGCAAAGCATTTGGAAACTGAAGAGAATGCAGAGCACTTGGAAACTGAAGAGAATGCAAAGCATTTGGAAACTGAAGAGAATGCAGAGCACTTGGAAACTGAAGAGAATGCAGAGCATTTGGAAACTGAAGAGAATGCAGAGCATTTGGAAACTGAAGAGTATACAGAGCATATGGAAACTGAAGAGAATGCAGAGCACTTGGAAACTGAAGAGTATGCAGAGCACTTGGAAACTGAAGAGAATGCAGAGCACTTGGAAACTGAAGTGAATACAGAGCATTTGGAACATGAAGAGTATGCAGAGCATATGGAAACTGAAGAGTATGCAGAGTACATGGAAACTGAAGAGAATGCAGAGCACTTGGAAACTGAAGAGAATGCAGAGCACTTGGAAACTGAAGAGAATGCAGAGCAGTTTGGAAACTGAAGGGAATGCAGAGCAGTGGGAAACCGAGGAGCAAGCAGAGCATTTGGAACATGAAGAGTGAGTAGCTTTGCACATGCCTATGAGCAAAGGAATATTCCGAATACACAGTATAACTTCATGTGGCAATTCAGAAAATGAAACATAAAAGGAAGGGGGAAAACTTTCTTCATTATTCCAACTCAAACATATTACCTAGATCAGGGCAACGGTGGAGTCTCGTAGTTAAAGCTTTCACTCATCACAACGAAGACCTGAGTTCAACTCCCTGCATGGATACAATGTGTAAAGCTCATTTCTCGTGTTCCCGCATGATGTTGCTTGAATATTGCGAAAAGCGCCGCTATACACATTTCACTCAATATTATTTACATCATAGGGAAATTAGATTCACTGATGTCAAAGACCGAAGTTGTATTCCATTTGGCAGACTAGCTGCAATGATCAACAATAAGCCAAAAACAGCTTAGACAACTTAATCAACAGCAAAGGGTTCATTTCAATAGAGTCTCAACAGTTATCTCCCTTGAACAGCAACTGGTAAGTCTTCGGTAAAAGGAAAAAACAGATGGTTAAGATTCTGTGTAACCATGGTAACATACTCTCACAGTTCGACGACAGTGACCCCAGAGGAAATATTCTCAAGGACAAACAACATCATGCCTTTTCACCCTGGCAACGGTTTTATGTTAAAGTCAGCCATCGCCAACAGAAATCTCCAGTTAATGCCCATCTAATTTGCATGGATTAGTCCACAAGTTTAATTTTGTAATATTTTCTGAAACATCTGTCAGCACTTGGTGACGTGTGGTGAAATTGGGTTTAACGTCGTGCTTGAGAATATTTCGCTCACATGACGACGTGCATGCGTGTGTGTGTGTATGTGCGGCTGCTTGTACTAGCCCAGACTTAAGCTGGTTTTATAGTGCTAGCCCACTGGGATACCATGCCGCAGTGAAGCATGAATACCCCACTCAGACACATTATACTGACTCCGAGCCGACCAGTCCTTGCTGTACCCATTAATGCTGAACACCAGGCAGGGACCAACAAGTATCATATTTTAACGTCTTTTGGTATGACGCAGTCGAGGATCGAACCCGCGACTTTCCGCTCTCCGCTTTCCGCTCTCTCTTCATGCATGTCTAGGTTTGTTAGTTGAATGAATGAAGGAAACAAGAAAACTTGGCACCCAGAGAGAGACACTGAGAGTTTTTTGGTTTTACGCCGCTTATAGCAATATTCCAGCAATATCACGGCGGGGAACACCAGAAATGGGCTTCACACATTGTACCCATGTGGGGAATCGAACCCAGGCCTTTGGTGTGATGAGCGAACACTTTAACCACAAGGCTACCCCACCGCCCTACTGAGATGATATTAATTGATAATAATATAAAGGAAACACAAATGTTATCAGTAATTTTTACACCACAAAAATTATCAATCATGGTCACGGAAATTGCCGATCAATTTGGGTGAACCGGGTTGCGAAAAATGTATCGCTATATATCGCATTTTGAAGTTCGAATTGCAATATACCAGTTAACCAGTATTATCCCCCACCCCTACCCATATGGCTGGAATATTGCTGAGTTTAGGGATAAACGGACCAGTGAATTATCCAAATCAATCTGAGAAATACATGTGTAATTATACTATCCACTATCTCTGTATTTTACAAATATAACAGATCAATGCTCATGCTGTTGATCACTGGACTGATCATACTGCCATTATAATTGTTTTGCCATTCAATTGTTTTACTGCCATTCTTCTGAGTGTGGAAATTGTAATTACTTAGTAATTTGCATAGTGAGTGAGTTGAGTTTTACGAGACATATATTCCAGCTATATGGCGTCAGTCTGTAAATAATCGAGTCTGGACCAGACACTTCAGTGATCAACATCATGAGTATTGATCTGCGCAAATGGGATATAATGAAATGTGTCAACCAAGTCAGCAAACCTGTCCACTCGATCCCATTAGTCCCCTCTCAGTAAATTGTATAATGAAATTGTTAATTGTAGGACATTTCTTAATCATTTGTTTCATTTACAGATTTCTGGGTTAACTTTGTGTCTCTGGAAATCAACACACAACACAAAGAGCAACAACAACATTGCGTTTCTCCAGTTTGTGGTCCTCTATCAATCAAAAAAGAAGAAAAAGTAATATGTAGAGATGGTAGGCTGTTTCACATACAGGAGATGGTAGGCTCTCTCTCGTCTAAGAGACCACAGGCTGTCTCACGTACAAGAGACCACAAGCTGTCTCACGTACAAGAGACGGTAGGCTGTCTCACGTACAAGACACGGTAGGCTGTCTCACGTACAAGAGATGGTAAGCTGTCTCACGTACAAAACACGGTAGGGTGTCCAACATACAAGAAACGGTAGGCTGTCTCACGTACAAGACATGATAGGCTGTCTCACGTACAAGAGAAGGTAGGCTGTCTCACGTAAAAGAGACGGCAGGCTGTCTCACGTACAAAAGACGGTAGGCGTCTGACGTACACGTTACGTCTCTGACTGGTGATGAATGGTTTCAAATGACAGATATATTGAACATACCGGCTTATACCTGGATCTGTAGCCCTTTCCTTCTAAGTGACGATCCCAATCTTCAATCTTTTGTTTCCTCTTTTCTTCCTCTTTCTGTCACAAAAAATCAGGCAGTGAGTATGCTTTTATGCTGCTTTTAGCAATATTCCAGCAATATCACGGCGGGACACCCAAAATGGGCTTCACACTTAGTACCCATGTGGGGAATCGAGCCCGTGTCTTCGGCGTGACGAGCAAATGCTATATTTCGTGCTACTTCACACAATTTAGGAAATTGTTGCAAATTTAAAAAATGTAAAGTTTGAAACTTAAATTACAACGAAAAATGAACCCCACTTTCTATTTATTTGTCCATCATATAGCTTTCTCAGGCAAAGACTGACTGACTGACTGAGTTTGGTTTTACGTCGCTTTTAGCAATATTCCAGCAAATGGGCTTCACACATTGTACCCATGTGGGGATTCGAACCCGGGTTCTTGGCGTGATGAGCCAACGCTTTAACCGCTGGGCTACCCCACCACCACCCCAGGCAAAGATATTTAGCAAGCAAAAACATTTCAGTGTGTGACATTAAGTGACTGATTGTATTAAACTCAATGACTGAGACACAGACATTTGCATTCTTGACAGACACGAATGAAACAGATGTGCAATACAAATGTATAAAATGGATTTCACATGTTAGCACATGTTAAATTCGATCAATGACACTGTACCTATATTTGTACAAAACAGCCTGTGATCTACAAGTACAGATAATAACGTCTCCCAGGAGATTTGCGCAAGGCAAACAAGGGTAAAAAAACCATGAGCAACAATCAAAACAAAAGGCACAATGCCCTGGCATCCCTAGGTGTAATACAAAGCCCATACCTTTCTCTGTTTCTCTGCATATTCTTCTGCCTGGGCATTGAGCTGTTCCTGCATACGCTGTCGAGACTGTTCCATTGCCTCATGGCGGCTCTGAGCCACACCTACATCTGGAGTAAACATCAGTTCAAAAGTTTTACGACAGAGATACAAGACTTCTTGAACAGTAATCATCAGCGGATTCCCTACATGGGTACAATGTGTGGAGCCCATTTCTGGTGTCCCAGAATGATGATATTGCTGGGATATTGCTAAGATTGGCATAAAACCACACTCACCCATTTTAGTGGACATAATGTGGAGTGAGTGAGTTTAGTTTTATGCCACACTCCGCAACATTCCAGCCATATGGCGGCAGTCTGTAAATAATCGAGTGTGGACCAGACAATCCAGTGATCAACAGCATGAGCATCGATCTGCGCAATTGGGAACCGATGGCATGTGTCAACCAAGTCAGCGAAACTGACGACCCGATCCCGTTAGTCGCCTCTTACGACAAGCATAGTCACCTTTTATGGCAAGCACATGGGTTGCCGAAGACCTATTCTACCCCGGGTCTTCAGGGGTCTGACATAATGTGGATCCCCCTAAACGCAATCACCTTAATATCAGACTTTGGTACTTGCTACTGCAACACATATTGGTGCAACCACTACAGGTCACTTGACATTTGCTCATCCAGAGTATCAGTCAACAGATTATGAAATTACAGTCCAAATGCATAGTTTCATCACCCTTCTTCATAAGAACCATCATCACCACCATAAATTATGAATGGTCCCTAACACATTACAGTTCACCTTTGCTAAATCAAACATTTATATTAAAACAACATGATGAAGTTCTCATAACATTTATTTGATAATTTTAACTAAGATGACTTGTACAGGGCTTGGAACTAAAACTTGGTCTATGAAAAAAAATGTCAGCTTCTTGTAGCTCTCTTCCTCTCGAGACTTCTGCATCTTGTCCCATGATGCCTGGAACTTTTTCCGCAGGTAGAAAGGGAGTAGAACACCAGCAAGCAGGAACCAGCCGTAGGTCTGTATCACCTCCACACCTGAAACACATGCTCACAGACATCAGAATTTGTAGGGTGTGCGTGTGTGTGTGTGAGACACAACATAGTACAGGGCTCCAGATAAGGGCCGTATTGGCGTATGTACGGATATAAAATAAGCATTATACGGTAGGAAATAATTTAGAAAACATTGCAGATACGCACCACAGCAATGGTGTAGGTCTTAGAATCATTTACAGACGTATTTATCTGAAAAAGTATTGTTTCATTGTTTATTGACCTGTTTACACAAGAGTAGCAATGTTGTGGTGGATATATGAAACGAAACACAAGATTACTGATACTCCATTAAATTCCATTCAGTACTCTAAATGAACTTTTATTGTTTTCCAATACTCCTTTATTGAAAAAATAAGGAGTACGTACTCCTGATCATGAATATTTATCTGGAGCCCTGATAGTATAGACACGTTAATTCCCTCAGCAGGATGATAAAGGGATGTTTGCTAGTAAACATGGTAAAGATGTGTCAGTTCCTTAAGGATGATAGAGACAAGTTTGGTAGTAGGGCTGTGTATATACCAGTACAGTATCTCGCAATACGATTATCACGATATGGTTTGGGTTCTGCAATATATTGGGACATCCAGAGTTAGCTCCCTTTGAATTAGCTGCCCTTAACAAAATGTGCTCTGAAAGTGCCAAATAGACTTTTATTTCTGTTGGTTTCATGTAACATTTTACAAGTGGAAGTGTCTTTATAAGTGGCTCCAAAAGTGCCAAATATTCTACAGGCTGATTTAAGTTTTGTGGGTTTGAATGGTTTCATGTGTGACGTTTTGGAGGAATTAAGTGGCCGCAAATGGACCAATCTTTTAATAAAAGCAAGATTTATGGTTTGTCAAGATGTCAACTTCTTGTTGTGAATAGCACGATGTTTTGGAGTGTATGCTTGCTCCTTCATCAGGTCATGAAGAAGCAAGCATACACTCCGAAATGTCGTGTTATTCACGATAAAGAAGTTGACACTTATAAATCTTGCTTTTCTTATGCATTCAACTTCTACATGCCCTTCAAAGATTTGACCATTCTTTTATTTGGACTTATTAGTAGAACCTCTGGCTCTGAGTGACCATTTCACATTATTTTGTTATTTTTGTTTGTTTCATAATGGGACATATGTTATCAATTTATCATAAAGGCCAAAGTCTTATAAATCTTGTAGGACTGTATAATGACATTCTAGTCAAGGATCTTAGTTATTGGAGGTCACATGAAATTATAAGCTCAAGTAGTTCGCCTAAATCATGTTTTTGTTTCAGTTTGCAATAGTTCATGTTAACACATGTTCAAATTGGTGTTGAATCTGAATGAAACACTGACAAACAATACCAATTTACATACTGCATTGAAGAGCATCTGTTGAAGCAAACAACACTGACCATGAAAATCATGTTATACTATTACCTTTATCATTATGTTCGCAAAACGTTGTTGTAATACAATACTTCAATTAATCATTCTACATTAAGGCTCTATATCATTTTATATATCTGTAAACCACTGACATACAGCCATACACAATGGGGATGGGGAGCCTGATAGTGTGGTGTAACAGCAACTAAGAAGATGATGTCATACACAGAGAGCTATTATGAATTTTTTATGTACGCACTTGGACAGAAACCTTCCAGTCAGTATACCACAATATGTATTGCAATATCTCTTAAATTATTGCAATATATCGCAATATGAGAATCAGGGCAATATGCAGCCATATTTGGTATAAAAAATTTGTCAACTTAAAAGGATCATAAAAGGGTGTTTGCAAGTAAAACAGTATCAATTCATTTGGATCGTAAAGGGGTGTTTGCTGTAAAGATGTGTCAGATCCCTAAGGTGAGGTGAGGTGAAATTGGGTTTAACGTCGTGCTTGAGAATATTTCGCTTATATGACGACGTGCATGCGTGTGTATGTCTATGTGCGGCTGCTTGTACTAGCCCAGACTGAAGCTGGTTTTATAGCGCTAGCCCACTGAGATACCATGCCGCAGCAAAGCATGAATACCCACTCAGACACATTATGCTGCCTCCGAGCCGACCAGTCCATGTTGTACCCATTAATGCCAAGCGCCAGGCAAGAACCAACAAGTACCATATGTTAACGTATTTTGGTATGACGCGATCGGGGATCGAACCAGCGACCTTCCGATCTCCGGGCGGATGCTCTAACCACTACATCACGGAGGTGGTCTAGATCCCTACGGATGGTAAAGGGGTGTTTGCTAGTAAAATGGTGTCAGCTCCCTAAGACCCAGGGAGTGGGACTTAAGCCCAGTGTGGGCCAGGTTAGTAATGTTAAACGAGACAGTGGGAGTGCTATAGTGAAATAATTCCTCTAGTAAGACCAGGCCTGTTTCACTCCAACTAGTGCACCAAGAATAATTATCTTTCTGTAACGCATGATCTATATTTGAATGACCCTCCCTATGTTATATATAGCTCCAGATAAGATTTAGCTCATGTGGGTACTGTACCCACTGTATTTTTTTGGGAGTGGGTATTATGAATGTTGAGTGGGTATTTCAGTTTCCGTTCCCCACTGCTTTCAAATATGTGCGTATTTCAGTCATTTCACTCATTTCACTCACCTGAGTATTATGTCATTGAGTAAGTTTACTAAGCAGGTATGTTCTGCCTTATGTCATACCTAATCAAAACCAACTTAAATATAATGGAAATAATTTCATAAAAAAAATCACTCATCCTATACTGACAGTACAACACTAGTCCTATACTAACAGTACAACTTGATAGCAATCAATGTCTTTTTCATTACGCAAGCAATTTTCATAAATATATTCCGTACGCATTTGTTTTAAACTTTTTGCGTATCCAACATTTTAAATGAGTAATTGGTATGCAACAATTATATTTCAGTGTGTAACTGGAAATTTTCTTTGCGCATTTTACCCGGATACGCAGCTCATCTGGGCCTCTGTTATATACTCTTTTCAGGACTGTGTGTGTGTTTAGTTTTACACCACACCCAGCAATATTCCAGCTATATATGTTTGTAAATAATCGAGTCTGGACCAGACAATCCAGTGATCAACAGCATGAGCATCGATCTGCGCAATTGATAACCAATGACATGTGTCAACCAAGTCAGCGAGCCTGACCACCCGTTCCCGTTAGTCGCCTCTTACGACAAGCAACCCGCCTCTAACCCGGACCTTCATGGGTAACTTTTTTCAGGACCCATAGTGGAAGACAATGTATGATAAAGCACTTATATACATGTTTATTTCCTCCAGACCATCCCTAATTATGAGTAGTTTTGTTTTGTTGTTGTTTTTGTTGTTTTTTGTTTTTTGTTTTTTGTTTTTTTTTTGTTTTGTTTTGTTGTTTTGTTGTTGTTTTTTGGGGGGGTGTATTACCCTCCACAACAAAGCTGTCATTTTGGTGGATGACCACCCTCTCATCCCAATGCCCAGCCATTCCCCCGTCCTAGCCAAAGTACATGACAGGCAAAATGCTAGTCTGTCACACATAATATATTCAAGAAATCCCATGCAAGTCTTGGATGCGTTCATTACTGAGACGAGATGTTAGTCTAACAAAATACCTGTAGAAAACACGTTGCTGACTAAAGCTGGATTTTCATTTCGTAAAACCTCTGGATGAGGATTCCCATCTCCGCCAACATCTCCCATGGTGCGAGACCGTATTTGACCACGGTGCAGTCACTATCGACGCTGTTCACCTTATAATACGTGTTCTAGTAACATCGACAAACGAAAACACGAATCATCAAAACAAAACTCGGCACGTCACAGGAAGTTAACACAAACACACCTCACTTCAAGAGACATCTAAAGGGAGATAACTCGAGACCAAACTTGCTCATTTTGAGATGACTGAAATAATGAACCGAAAAACTGTAGGATTAGCACAATCTCCTCTTTTTATAATATATATGTGGTTCATGCCATTTAATAATAATTCACACGTAGAATGCGCTTAGGGGGAGATGCGCACACATCCCGAAACACACTTTTTGAAAAGCAAACATTTACTGTCAGCAACGCTGTTCGGACAGACTCGTCAGCAGCTAAATTTTGTATAGTAAATTGACAGTATATGATTTTGTTGAATTACGAACTACGCAGACGTATCCAGAGGTGCGTGTGTGTGCGTGTGCGTGTGCAGGGATGCCCATCAGTTATCAGACTTCCTTTTTTGGTGGAAGCTACAGGTGCGGTGGGGTAGCCTAGTGGTTAAAGCGTTGGCTCGTCACGCCGAAGACCCGGGTTCGATTCCCCACATGGGCACAATGTGTTAAGCCCATTTCTGGTGTCCCCCGCCGTGATATTGCTGGAATATTGCTTAAAGCGGCGTAAAACTAAACTCAGTCAGTCAGTCAGTCAGTGGTGGAAGCTACGGTAGCTGAGTGGATCGCAAACATTGTGTGCTGGCCATAAGACGCATCACTCTCACAGTGATGGACCCCATGTGTTCTATAATCTGTGTTTAATAGAACTTTGAGATTATGTTGTGGTCATTCCGTTTAAACAAATACTTTGAAAACTATATGCGTGTATATGCATGTCCGTATCCAGGGAGACTATATAAGTTGTAGAGTATCCCTGCCGTATCATAGCCACGATATGTTTTGCTGGTTTGTTGTTACGCCACACTCAGCAATACAGCAGCTATATAATATATGGCGGCGGTCTGTAAATAATCGAGTCTGGACCAAACAATCAAGTGATCAACAGCATGAGCATCGATCTGCGCAATTGGGAACCTATGACATGTGTCAACCATGTCAGCGAGCCTGACCACCCGATCCCGTTATAGTCGCCTCTTACAAGCATGGGTTACTGAAGACACATTCTAACCCGGACCTTCACGGGTCACATTTCAGGAAAGAATTAAAGTATTATTATCTTGTAGGAAAAGCCAGATATTGCCATGAATCAAAGTTCAATGAATCCGAAAGCAAATGGGCAATGTATGTAAAACCAGGGAGACTATATAAGGAGTTGTAGAGTATCCCTGGTAAAACTTGTAAGTGATTAGTTCAATGTTATGGTAGTGAATGCATGGTTATAAATGAGAGAGCAAGTGATATATCTTTGCTTATTTCTTTTATAGTTTTTATTTTATGTTTTTATTTGTTTATATTTTTTTTACTTATTTTTTTTACTTTTCTATTATTTCATTTCCTCATGTAGTTTAAAAGAATCTGTACTTTACTGAGTAAGTGTAACCCCAAACATAACATGTTACATTTGACCACTTTCTGAAAAACACTATTGATTGATTCCAACCAGTTTCTGTCCCTGTAGTGGTGCTATGCGACGGATGTTGTCAGTATGTCAGGATATCTATTGTAAATTAATTATTGTATTAAATCTAAACAGGAATCTGATGTGATTTTCTAATGAACTTGGAATGAAATTCCAAGCCAGACAGCCGGACTGGTAACTTTTAAAAATTACCAGTCCGCGGATACAATCCTGCCTGTCCGGTTTTCAACAATAAACTGGAGTTACACGTGTTGTGATTGGTTATCGTAACATGAACTGTCCAATCGTAAGTAGTTTAACATAATTTTCATAATACCTCAAACACCTCAAACTGACGACAACAGATAATGTCTGATATTATGAAATATTTACTGTTAGGGGTAAAAATATCTACCAGACCACCGGACAGGCTACTTTTGAAATTTGACCGTCCGAGATGAAAATAAACTGTTCCGGACGGTCGGGCAGGCGGGAAATTTTAAACGCTGCTTATAACACACCAGAAATGGGTTTCCCACAATGCGACCACGTGGGGAATGAACTCGGGTATTCCGCGTGACGAGCGAACGCTTTAACCACAAGGATGCCCCTTCCGGTCAGTTTACTTCCCGAGAAGATCCGGATTAGAAGTGCTCTTCAGCAACCCATGCTGATCTTAAGAGTCGACAAACAGACATGTATTCGCATCCCTATTGCGAAGATCGATGCTCATGCTGTTGATCACTGGATTGTCTGGTCCAGACTCGATTATTTACAGATCGCCGCCATATAGCTGGAATATCGCTGAGTGCGGGTCTACACACCAACCAACCAACCAGTATATTTATTGAGAGCTTTTTATGCCTTTGTCAAACACACACCATCTGTTACGTTTGTAAGGACCCTCCAACATGAAAGCATTGATTAATGTTCACGTTTTCATTGCACGCAATATACCACAACTCCAGTCAAGGTAGTTGACGTATATGTATTAAGGTAAGCAAATGTATTTAAACTTATCTTTAGTGAAGATTTAAATTTTCCCACTTCATCACAAAATATTTATTCTGTTTACTTAACTCTGCATTTTATTAGGACTTTAATTTGAGTGAAGAGATGGGGGATAAAAGTTGTTGTTCCAGATGTTGTCATATGTATTGCGTAATATTTGGGCTCCAAGTGACACATGTAATATTTCATTTCATAATAAGCAAAGTTATTAATAAGCGAAAGAACAATAATCAAAATATTTGTAAGATGTCTCTCGTTATAGTTATAAAAGTGACTGGATGTTTGCGTGTTTTCATTTACGTTTGTACCCGTGAAACATCCCAATTTATTCTTAACCAAAAGAGATATTGTGTTTTGCTGGTTGGCCAGTCATGTTGGCATCAGTGTCAATTGTGATGCCGATTCCGCGGCAAAAGCTGCTCTGAATAAGTCCACTACAAACAAAAACTTCCCGTATTCTGATCTCCGACCCTCCATTAGACAGTATGTGAATGATCATTGGCAAAAAAACTGGAACACTAAAGTTTTAAATAAGCTCCACGCCATCAGGCCATGGGTTAGAGGTTATAACTATTCTGGCCTCTCTCGACATGATGAAGTTGTGTTGAGCGGTGTCGCATTAGGTATATCCAGTCATTTTACACAATCATTTTTTATTTTAAAAGGTGAAGATACACATTTCTGCAGTCTTCGCAATACATAGATAACAATCAAGCAAATTTTGCTTGAATGTGTTGATTTTGCATTTATCAAACATAATTTTTATGATTATGTTCATACCTTATCTGAAATTTATCTGAAAAATTTCTAACCATTTAATTTTAGTTAAAATAAATCAATCTATATGACCCAAAATATAATTTTATCTCAATGGTCCGGTTTTACCCTTGGATATGATTTGCCTTTGAATTTAGTGATTTTCAACATGATTCTTATCATGATGCCTCATATCTTGTAATACAAGAATAGCTGCAAATTTACTGACGTTAAACAACTTTCACTCACTCTTAAAGCAGAACAATAACGTCTTCAGTGTAACGTCATATATATACTCTGAGCTTATATCATTGACTTTCGTAACATTCTGCTTACATATGAATTACCCGTCAAGGTCCGGGTTAGAATGAACCTGCAGTAACCCATGCTTGTCGTAAGAGGCGACTAACGGGATCGGGTGGTCAGGCTCGCTGGCTTGGTTGACACATGACATCGGTTATCAATTGCGCAGATCGATGCTCATGCTGTTGATCACTGGGTTATCCGGACTCGATTATTTACAGACCGCCGCCATATAGCTTGAATATTGCTGAGTGTGGCGTAAGACTAAACTCACTCACTCACTACTTATCCACTTCAGATACTGTAACGGCTGTGTGATCTGCCCTCGCCCATCAGGAGCTGGTGAACCCTCTTTTCTCTCCGTGCACAAATACGGGGATATCTCTTCAAGGAACAACATCACAGTGTGGTATCCCAAGAAGAAACGGAACAACATAACACGATGTCGTAAACCCTTTGAGAACAATTACAGAAATTTGACACAATTGATCTGGAACATTGAGCTTTGTCGTATTTTTGGAATTGACAAATTCATCTTCTATCTTGGCTCTCAATCAAACGGTGTTGAGAGTGTACTCAAAGAGTATGAAGCTGAAGGTATTGTTGACAGGGAAATTGTACTTTGCCTGCAAGTCCGATCCAGAAATACATACGAGGGTATAAGCACACTTCATGACTGTCGTCCCTCCCAAATAGGATCGGCGAAATATGTCATTTAGCATGATTTTGATGAAATCGTTGTTACAAGGAAGCATAAGAGTCTTGTTGAACTGGCAGATGAGCTAATGAACAAATCAACTAATGGCCAAGAAGCAACTGGAGCTCTTCTCTTCCGAAACGTGTATTATCCTCTATTCGCAAATAAGACAACAGTCGACTTTCCTCTGAAACAACACGCATTTCGATATGATATCCATCCCTTACTATATTCGATGAGAGAAATAGCAAGCCCGGTATCAAAGAAACAAATCATGATGGTTATTGTGTTTTGAACAGTCTTTGTTTCGACATCTCTCCAGCATAGCCTCTGCAAGGAGCTGAGAGTAACTTATGCAGGAAGAAGTCCTGGGAAACAGAATCAGTGAAGTGTTCCTGTTCCTGTGAGTGTCCATTACGTCATAAGATAAGCCAAGTTACCGACCACACGTAGTGAGCGAGTCCATGGCTCTTTTACATCATTACCGCAACCTGGAACAGGAACACTTCACTGATTCTGTTTCCCAGGACTTCTTCCTGCACAAGTACTCTCAGCTCCTTGCAGAGGCTATGCTGAAGAGATGTGGAAACAAAGACTGTTAAAAACACAATAACCATCATGACTTGTTTCGTCCACACGCCAAATATGGACATTTCCACTCAATTGCAAATGAAGATCCGGTAATTAATTGCCTTCAGCCACCCATGCTTGTTCTAAGAGGCTCGCTGACTTGGTTGTATCTCCCAGATGCGTACATCGATGCTCATGCTGTTCATCGTTGGATTGTCTGGTCCAGATT